GTAATTATACACCAGAAGTTAGCTTGTAATGAATACCTATATATGTGTATGTGGTACGGTATGGTAATTATACACCAGAAGTTAGCTTGTAATGAATACCTATATATGTGTATGTGGTACGGTATGGTAATTATACACCAGAAGTTAGCTTGTAATGAATACCTATATATGTGTATGTGGCACGGTATGGTAATTATACACTAGAAGTTAGCTTGTAAGGAATACCTATATATGTGTATGTGGTACGGTATGGTAATTATACACCAGAAGTTAGCTTGTAATGTATATGTGTATGTGGTACGGTATGGTAATTATACACCAGAAGTTAGCTTGTAATGCCATACCGTACCACATACACATATATATTCATTACAAGCTAACTTCTGGTGTATAATTACCATACCGTACCACATACACATATATAGGTATTCATTACAAGCTAACTTCTGGTGTATAATTACCATACCGTACCACATACACATATATAGGTATTCATTACAAGCTAACTTCTGGTGTATAATTATGTGTATATGTGTGGTAATTATAGATTATTCATTAGCAGTGAGAGATTTGATCATAAAATTATTCAATTAAACTTCCTAAATGAGACATACACACACACACACATATATATATATTGTTCTTATGTTATTATTTGCAACAAGCTCTCTTTTGTTCCTCTCCCCAACAATTCTGGATGGTAACAGTATATGTTTAGAAGCAAGTAAGCAACAGAGGTAGGCGTGCCTACACCCTTTTCTGCTAAGTTAGGAAGGATGTAGTATGAAATACTGGAGTAGATTGGCGATAGATTCGGTATTTTCAACTTTACACCTGGGCTGTGAGACCCTCCATGGGGTGCAGACATAGCCTGAATTTAAACTATTTACTGAATGGCGGGGGGACAATGTCATTCTTATAATGCACTTAGAGCTCAAAGTCCGATCGTGCCAACAAACCGTCAGCATTTTTCTAGCGAATTCTGAATTGAAACGTAAATTTCTTAGGAACTGAGCGATTAATGAATCGTAATACAGCGCAGAGCTTGTGCTAAAATATTTTTTTATTAAAGAAAACATGCAAACAGAATATAATGCTTTGGAAATATCTGTGAGATGCATCAATTTTAACAGATTAAAAACAGCGGAAACCACGACGAGTTTCCAAATAGACGGCGAATTTAAATCAACTTATAGAGAAATCGACTGTAATTAAGATCTGGTGTCAGATTCATTATTTCCCACAACATATGAAGGTCACAATTAGTCAACTGTATCAGTATGGTGCACCTGGCGAGCCGCATTTGTCCCCAAGATCGAGTTTTTCCGGCCCACGGTCTTATTAAAGTTCATATCTTATTGAAAATTCACGTCCATCCCAGTGAGCCAAATAAATAATAATTTACGGCCACACAGTCCGGCCATCCATAGGTTAAAGGTTGGGCTACCCTACAGACTGACTATACATAAACTTCAGACCGTAGCGTTGTGCAAGTTCGTTGTACAGCATCAGTAAATGAGTTCGATTTGAATTTTTATATGAATTATTCCTAGGTTACTGAAAAATATTTATTTACTTCGCGAAATGATTTGTTCTATGGAGAAGCTCTGGATTTCAGAGCTAGTGAGCCAGTTTTGAATCCCATGAAATATTCCCTGCACGTTAAGCTGTGATTGCGTTATAAAAGTGACAGTCTATCCCTTAGCCTTAAACAAAAAATACAACTATTTCACGAATAAACGAGTTTTTGTTTGTTGTAAGCGTAAAGCTGCACATTGGGCTATCAGCGCTATACTCACCGCAGGGATTGAACCCCGAATTTTAGCGTTATAAGCCCTCAAGTTTAACCGTTGAGCCACCAGGGAGATCACGAAGAATTACAAACTTATCAATTAGGACAGACTTTCTAGGTGTTTTTTTTTCTTTTTCACATCTACCAAATATTCATATTATTTATCTGCACCGTGACACATACAAAATCCTCTTTTTCGTGTTGCTGTCTCACAAAAATTCGTAATATTCTTGGATTCCCCTTGATGAAACATTCAAGAAAACAACCCTGGGTTATCTCTATGTTTCACATATACATAACCGTGCGAAAGTGATTTGATTTTCATTATTTACCTCACTAGTGGCTCAGCGGTAAGTCCAAGGGCTTATAACGCTAAAAACCGGGGTTCGATACCCATGATGGAAACAGCTCAGATCGCCTATTATGTAGCTTTGTGCTTAACAACGAACAAACAAATACATATTTTACAATTCACCATAAAGCAAGGATTTTCAACTTTTCCTCCATCATTAACCCCCTTGGCTTGATGTATTTCTCCATTTACCCCATTACTTCCATACAAAAAATTCATAGCCATCATAAAGGGACAGAAAAACAAGAAGGTCAGAAAAAATATATATAATTCAGGTTTTTGCACAAAAAGAGCAATATACAATCGTATCACCAAAAATAAAGAAAATAAAACATTCTTTTCTAAAGAAAAAATTATACAGTCCATTTTTATCACAAAAAAAAATAAAACCAAACAGAAACACCAGAAACATTATCACTGGGAACACTGCTGATTCATTGAGTCAATCAGTTTGTTTATGCGAGGAGCTGTTGATGACAATGCTACTCTCATATCGTCATCCTGGCCTTTGTCTTCATTGCTACTAAACTTGAGAACCCTGATTCACATAAGTATGTAGTGATAAAAGGAACAAGCACTTAGAAGGCACGCTGAGTAAGGAGTGGGAATGAATCTGCGAATTTTACCCAAAAATGAACACCAACCTTTTCAAATTCTTCTGTAAGAGTAGCTGAGAATTGAAGATCAATCAGCTCCTCTATTGCTGGGTCATCATCTTTCATTTCTGACAGTTCAGTGGCAAAAGGTCTTATTATCCATCTCTCTGTTGGAATCATGCCTTTTTAAAAGTAGCCAGTGAAGTGATTCTTCAAGATTTTCAAATGTTCTGTGATGTCTTGATTTATCTCAGGTAACACTCCAGATCTTTCCTCATCCAAGTTTGGAAAATTTGCAAAGTTACTTTGGTGAACTCTCCGTGCCCATAAGTCCAGCTTTGTCTGCAATGCTATCATCTTTTCACTTGCTTCAACAATGGTTACTGACGTTCCCTGCAGTTGTTTGTTGACTTGGTTAAGACGAGTAAATATATCTGAGAGGTACCCCAAACAGGCGATGAACTTCGGATCAGCAAAGTCTTCACACAGCTTTGAATTCCGGTCACGAAGAAAAATCTTTAACTCAGTATGGAGCTCAAACACACGATTTAAAGTAAGTCCACGAGAAAGCCACCTCACATCAGTATGCAGTAAAAGAATGGAATGCTCAGAGCCCATCTCATCACAAAAAGCTTTGAAGAAATGGTGATTCAAAGTTCGGGCCCGAATGAAGTTAACAGCCTCAACAACTTTCTGGAAAACAATTTTCAGATTTTCAGGAAGAGTTTTTGCAGCTAATGCATGTCTGTGAAGAACACAATGTGTTGTTATCACATGAGGTGCCTTTCGCTTCACAAGCGCAGTGAAGCCTGATCTCACTCCCATCATGGCTGGAACTCCATCAGTACAGATTGAACTAACAATGTCCCATGTGAGATCGTTCTTTTCAAAGAAGTCTTGTATTTTCTGCATTATATCAATATCCTTTGTGGTTTGTTCGAGAGGTTCACAAAAGAGAAATTCATTTTTTTAGTTCTTTTCCACACATGTAACGGACAAAAACAAGAAGATGTGAAAAATTGGCTACATCACAGGATTCATCAAGTTGCAAAGAAATTTTTGCTAGGCTAGATTTGATCTGTTCAATAACTTGTTGACAAATATCTTGCGACATTTCTATAATACGCCGATGAATTGTGTAATTAGAAAGGGGAATGGCTTGAATCTTCTGTTTTTCTTTATTCCCACATACATGTTCAACTATGTCTGAGGCACAAGGTTTAATCAGCTTCTCGACTATGTCATGAGGTTTCTTTGCCTTTGCTATTCACATCGCTACATGATAGGAGGCTGCAAGCATTGGTTTCTTCTCAGATACGAAGCCAAATTTGGGTAGTGTTCCTGCAGCCCTAAACCTAGCTCTCTTTGCCTCAAATGTAGCACGGTCTCAGATGCATGGGCAGGATGTGTAGCTTCCAGATGCTGTTTCAATATTGAAGGTTTCAGTGACCCATTTCCAAGAACTTTTGAGCACAGCAGACACTGAGGCTTCTCCACACCATCCACAACAATGAAGTTAAAACCATACTGTACATATGAATCCAGGTATGTACGTTTCTTGGACATGACAAAATCTGAAAAGAAATAATTATGAATTAGTATAGTGACTGTATAGGACTGAACAGGATTGACTGGCACTCTCCCTTCCTCCCTCTCTCCCTCACGCATGCACGCGAGCACACACACACACACACACACATTTTACAAAATGAACTTTAATTGAATTATTATTCAATCATCAGGTACATCAATTATTTAACCCCTGCCATGTAATTTTTACCCCCAAGGGGTAAATTTACCCTGGTTGAGAATCACTGCCATAAAGTGAAGTAAGCTTACCTTCGGATAGTTTACTGTAACAACAACAACAAAAAATATCACTAACGTTTTCTATTGTTCTATCGATAAGTAGCAATACAGACGCATATTAATAATCATTGTCTATCTGTCTTCTATTTAAATAAAACTGTTCATTCTGATCCTGATCGTATCTGGTTGGTTGTTGTTTAGCGCAAAGCTGCACAATGGACTATCTTTGCTCTGCCCACTACAGGAATCAAAACCCCACTTTTAGTGTCGTAAGCCTATATACTTACTGCTGAGTCACTGGGGGGCTCTTGACTGTAAATAAGTAAATTCCTTATCACTTTTATTTGTATAAAAGTTTCGATAGGCGGCGGTAGCTACTTGACTGTTTGTTTGTAATTAAGCACGAAACAACACAATGGGCTATCTGTGCTCTGCTCACCACGGATATCGAAATCCGGTTTTTAGCGTTGTAAGTCAGCAGACATGCCACTGTGCCACTGGGGGACAAACTGCTGGAAGTACAAATTATATCTTTAACCTTCTGTTAATGTAATCCCCCCCCCGGTGGGACTGCGGTAAGTTTACGGACTTAAAACGCTAAAATCAGGTGTTCGATTCCTCGCGGTGGACACATCAGATAGTTCTAAAACAAACAAATATATTTACCAACGTTTGATTTCCTTTAATTGCCTGTCCCCCGGCGACACAACGGTATGTACAAAGCTAAAATCCGAGGTTCGATTCTGCGCAGTGGATACACCAGATAGCCCAATGTGGCTTTACTCTAAAGCAAATAAACTGTTAAAATAACTAAAGCTAATTTAATTGGCGTTATTTATTACGATAATCTTTAATATAAACAGAGAGGGAGTATATATCGTAGTACGAGAAGCTTGAATGTTGTTTATCAAGATGGTGCTGGTTAGTGAAGTCTGCAGCAAACAATATTCGACCCTCTCACGTCCACTCACGCATGACTAAATTACAATATTAAACTGAAAGTGGGAAGTTTTTATAGAAAACGTACTTGACTTGTACAGGAACTGTAATTAGTAAAGTTGTGCACAATTACGCGAGCCACATCTCGAATAACAATGGAGAACATTAGGTTTAAGGTTTTGCGAAAATCGATGTTTTGTCCCGCGTCGTTCTGGCTCTGTTATATTCCCAGGATTAACAATGTGCACTTTTCCCGGAGATACGGCCCGACCGTCGGCTACAGCTGACCGGAGGAAGGGTGGAGACTCCCGTGTCGGGCACACGAGCGCTCACCCATGGCTTCAAACAAAGGGAAAAGCCAATCTGTTATCCCAAAATTAAGGTGAATTGTTGAATTAAAGGGTGGGCCTTGTGCACGTGATCAAATTGGAGTTGGTTTGTTGAAGGTTGGATTAAATGGTGTCCATTTCCGCCGCCGACAGATGGATGAACAAGTCACGGATAGTTTGTCCGTATTTAACGATGAATTGATTGGAAAATCACTCTTTTTGACAGTGAAAATGTGTACTATTCCATACATCATTACCGTCGTGTTACAGTTAGATGTCGCTTCAGCTTCCATCAAATTAAAACCTACTTGGAAAGAAAAAAGAAAGAAAGAAAAAAGTTTTACAAAGTCGTTAACATTATAAGTTGTTTATTTATACACCGCAGTGTATAAATCGCAAACTCTTTCTGTCATTAGTTCAGTGTTATCATCTTAAAACTAGAAAATACAGTAAATCTTTAAAATTAGTTTAAAATAATGTCATTATCTTTTTTTTAGATGTAAAAGTTATGCATGTGTTACATCAACCGTGAAAATAAAACGTTTATAAATTTAATTTGCTAACATAGTCATCAGTCCCACAGTATCTACGGGCTTAAAGCGGTAAAATCCTGGGTTCGATTCCCCGCGGTGAACATGGCAGATAGCTCTAGACAAACAAACATATTTATTAACATTTGCTTCTCTTTAATTGCCACGTAACTCGGATGATTTTCCACCAGTTTCCTGTACTGATTAGTAATGTTTATTAACAGTACACTGTTGTGTATTACAAAACTTAAGTATCCGTTACTTTTCCGCCATACCCGAAACTCCTTTTTGATCGCTAAGTTAACGACAAGGGTGAGAAATAACACGTAGTAAAATTAAACACCGTATAAATGTGCTGTACAACTAGTTGGTGA